CAGTCACATGGTGAGTCCTGACCCCAGTCACACATCTACAAGTTCGGTTTTTCTTTCTTCTTCCTCTCTTTTTAGGTCCCATGTATAAGTCAGTAAGTGAGATCGTCAGGTATTTGGCAGCGTTTGTCTTTCTCAGACTTATCTCACCAGGTCCATCAGGTTTCCGAAATGGCAGGATTTCCTTCTTCTTCCCGGCGGAGTAACATTCCACTGTGTATACACCACACATCCTTCATCCACTGGACCGTGGGTGGACACTTAGGTTGCCTCCATGTCTTGGCTATTGTGAATGACACTGCTGTGGACGTGGGTGCAGGACAATGTGATTTAAATGCAGTCACACAGTCTGTGGCTTTTCCACACAGCATAACATCCTGGAGACCCCGAGTTAGTTCTGCTGAGCCCTTCCTGATGTGGGTTCATCACACGTGCCATAACCCTCACCCGGTGGGGGCATCTTTGTCTCTACTTTTGGGGGTGCTACAGACAAGGCTGCCATCAAGCAATCATGACCCGTGTCTTCCTCCTGTGTCACGGGATAAACTATGTCCCCAAATTCACATGTTGGAGTTCTGACACCAGCACTTCAGAGGGTGACCGTGCTTGGAGATGGGTCTTTGCGGAGGTGATTAGGACAAAGGAGGTCACTGGGGGCCCTGATCCACGCTGACCGGTGTCCTTACAAGAAGGGGAGAACAGGACGCAGACACACACACACACAGACGCTCATGGGAGGACGTGGGGAGGGGACGGTCATCCACACGCCAGGAGGACCAGCCCTGCCCACGCCTGGAGCTCGGACTTCCGGCCTCCAGGACTACGAGACAGCAGGTTTCTGTTGCCTGAGCTGTTCCGTCAGTGGTGTCTGTTGTGACAAGTGGGGGTCCCACTTCTCTGCAACCTGTCATGGATGCCTGCTGGGTGAGAGGAGGGGTGGAGGGGGAGGTGTGTCAGGGGGTCAGGGGGACGGGAGGGCCTGGGCAGCTGTGGGCATTTGGGGAACAGGGGGAAGGATTTCTTGCTTTGACCACACCTCAGGTGATGAGGCACACTGGGATAGAGAGAGTCAGGGGTGAGTGAGGGCTGTAACTGCCCCACCCCAGTCACAGCTGGACGGAGGCCCTCTGAGGACAGGCCAGGCACAACTTGCCTGCCTGCCCTGCACCTGCCCTACACCTGCCCTGCACCTGCCCCCAGCACCTGCCCCCAGCACCTGCCCTGCACCTGCGCCCTGCACCTGCCCCCAGCACCTGCCCTGCACCTGCCCTGCACCTGCCCAACACCTGCCCAGCACCTGCCCTGTATCTGCCC